TGCTGGAATGGAGACACATTTTTTGTATTTGTCTTACAAAAGAGATTTACCCTCTTTTTCCTACCAAACCTTTAGACCTTTTCTTCCTAAAGTGCCTAAACAGAGTAATACTGTTTCAAATATTACCTTATAATTTTTATAGGAGCTATCCAAATATTGACTCATGATGTTTTATTCCCTTGTTTTGGGGAATAAAATCTTGGCCTTCCTGAAAGCACTGATTATGAGTTTCCTCAGCTACATATATCAAGACTAGCACAGCTAAAGCCAATGTGAAGTGGAAATCAGTCTTCTGGTCACTTTGCAATACAGAAGGTCAGGTCTGTAACAATGGTTACTTATCTAAGCGCATTTCTTTAAAAAATGCTCAAAATGAGACCACGTGAAGAAGTCAGTCACTAGGACAAGGAAAGCACATGGCTGAGAGCGGTCTGCACAAGTAAATTGACGCTTTTGGAGATAATTATGTGCTGATTTTGTCAGATGCATGTTAGCATCAGACCATAAACAAATTAAATAGAAATAGTTGTAACTTGAGAGTCTGTATGTGGGTATGAGAAGGCGCAGTTTCATTAACGCAGGGCTGGCAGTCACACTCAATCTTCCCCCACGCACGTGTGGCTTTACCTCTCTTCTCTGCAAAGGAATTATTCTTCAACTGAAAGTTGCCAGCTGTAAAAGCATCTTTTTGACAAATCTGATGTGGACATTCGCATGATTCATTTGCAGCCTGATCCCAACCATTACTTTCAGTATGGAAATTTGGAACTATTTTCAACCAGTCCCAAGCCTATGAAGAATAAACTGTCCTTTTAAAAATACTACTGTACCTTTTAAGTATGCAGATTGCCAGGCTGAATTTTAAATGCAATCACTTTGCTTCCAGTACACTCTAAAAATCAGGAGTCACAGTCTGCATGAATCAGTCCTCTGCACCTAGGACCTGCTATTTCCATCATTTCAAGCCTGTGTGCTGCAATTATGTGAATTGTCCACTTTTTTCTGCCCAGCCTCCTCCACGAAATGTGTGTGCAATATAAAACCCATTTATCATACTGGAAATTGCTATTGTATTTAATCTTCCCAAAGAGAGCAAAATTAAATTATGGTGTGTAAAGAATGATAATCTGTCAAATCCAAGGGAATACTCCAATTAAATCCAAGGGAATACTCCAAACTTATCCCTCCACATCTGCAGCAGAACAGGTCAAAGAGGTCTAATGTAGAATGGTTAGGTAAGAAGACATGATGACAGCATACATAATGAGAAGATGAAAACTCTCTTAATCTTTGCAGATTGAATGAAATCTAATTACATGCTGTATTGATTGTTGTGTATTACTGGAAAGAGACAGTGAAAAGGGAAAAAGGCAATTACAGTGAAATTGTAGTCTGACCCTTCAATTGCTTTTGGCATGAAAGGTTATGCTCTACTTGGGGCATCAAAAATTGTTCATCGTTTATGGTAAATCGTTAGCAGACTCAGATGCAAAACCGATTAGGGGAAAAAAAAAAATCAGTTGATTAAACCTGTTTTATTTTTTCCCCTTTACAAAAAACAGTGGCAAAGGAATAAATACCAAGCTGTTATCATTATGCCATTCCATGAATTGCTACAAAGTCTATCTGGCATTAGTTTTGTGTTAACTGATAATAAATCATATTAATCAAGAGAAATACCATAGTAAAATTGAAAAAAAAAAAAAAAGAAAAAAAGAAAAAAAAATAGATTGATGAACTAGATCTAGAATAACTTAGTTTTCCAAAATAAATGTTTTACCCAAAGTAAAATATTAAGAGATAATATAAAGTTTCACCAAGGAAATTCTACAGACATGTTTCATTGCTTTCCATTCCCTTTGCATGCTCCATTTACTTACTTCCACCAAAACCAGTGGCAGATGAGTGTAAAGAAAGCTTGCAGAAATACCACTTTTCGAAGTTGATAGAAAACCAAAGCACAAGCCAAATGAAAACTGTTGTTTGGGTGTATGTGTGCATGACTCTGCAGGGAATCATGGTAATTCTCATTCATACCATTCTAAAAATTACTGCTCTGCAAAAGATAACTGCAAGGACCAGCTTCCAACTGACTTTCAGGCATAGTCCTCTGTGTCCTACACACGCCTCCAGAGGCACTGTATGCGCAGCTTTTATGCAGACTGAAAAGTCAGTGAGTTCTCTGGTGAATGGTTTAGGATGACTCTTGATACACTTTTGTTTATTTCTCCTTGCAGAAGTTACACCTTCAAACAACATTTCTTTGATTGCATGCAAACAAGTGTGACAAAATTCTGTATAGCTGCAGCTGTAGGGCTGGTCTCTCGCACAAGTGTCTTTCTATTGCACTGGACCTTCAACAGAGGCCCTAGAAAATCCAGGTAGGGTCTTACCAGTTCAGGACTAATCCAAATAGAAGAGAAAAATGAATTAAAAGAACATGGAGACTTTGTTACAAAAAATATAAGCTACTTAATAGGTGGCTCTAAATTTGCTGGTCTCAAAACAGAAAGAACCAAGAGTAGAAAATGGAAATACTGATTTGGACAGACCTACCATAACAATAACATTGAGCCAGACTTTCCTGGTGCTTGCAGGAGTTCTGGGTATCCAAGGAACTCATATTCCTTGCGAATAAAATCTGTCTAGCCATGTCTTTCTCTCCATATAAACGTGACTTTGACTCACCTCATGAAAAAGTAACACTCAAGAAGGCCTCAGATGGCTCTCTAACCTTGTGATAAAGCAGTATACAGGATAATGTCGGAGAAACCTTGCTCGACTTTAGGATGAAACTGCACAGTTTTGGAGCAGAGTGCTTCTGTAATAGTAGTCTTTCTGTGAGAGATGGTAGAGCATTGTCACAGACAGGCTCCCTTGAATCTCAATGCTGCCAGAGCATCATTATGTCCATTAATGGCATAAGTAATGAGTCATGATATTAAAAACAGAATACCAGTGAGCTAAACCCAAACACAGATGCCTGATCCTGATTTCACTTACAGTGATGCAACTCTAATGATTTCAGTGGAGCACCTCCTAATGTTTTAGGACTTTTCGGGTTTGTTGCCACAGAACGGAAAGGAAAAAAAAAAAAAAAAAGAAAAAAAAGAAAGCTACAAAGTATTTTTTCACAATGATGAGAAAATAATTGATCTGTGTTAATGTACCACTGTGTGATAAAAAACCCCAGCTGTGTCAGAGAGAAACTGAAGGGAAATGAATAGGAACTTTGGACAGCTCAGCTTGAAAAACTTTCTGTATTTTCCTGTGCAAGAACTTGCAAGAAGAAACCGCCTGCAGTGTTTATTATGATCTGATGAAGCAACATAACATTTAAGTTCAAGTAACGTCACTATGAAGTTCCATATCCAAGAAACCAAATTAAAGAGGAAGAAAAGAGTCCCCAAAATAGAGACATATTTTACAGACAACTCTTTACTGTGAAGTCACGGTCATTATGTGCAATGGTGCCTGCTTAGTACATTAAGGACTATGGCTGATGCTCCAGGGAATGCTATGCTGAGATGAACCCAGAGCAGGCAAATCCTACCCAAAGTCTTACCTATGAACAAGACCAAGAACAAATCAATTCAGGCAAAAAAAAAAAAAACCAAAAACATTCAGTTGAGCTACAATGGATACAGCTTAGGGACTAATCTAATTTAGTTTGGGAATTCTATGGCTTTGTTGAATTTGGGAGGAGGATTTCCCTCTTAAATCCCACATTCTTCAAAACTGCTTCAAAATATGGTTAGGAAACACAGCTGTTGACTCTTTACCTCTAATTCATGAATGTGTATTTTTGTGACTAACACCCACACTCCACGTTCCCCTTCTCTCTTCCCTGTTTTATACAGATGAGTGTGTAAGGGGATGCCTGTTCTATAACACTTGCTGGTACAGATTGTGTATTACCATAACAGCCTAACCTACTTAGATTTATACAGTCATTCACGAAGTAGTAATAGGAAATATACTTTATCATAACCCTCCTATTTGTCTGCATTTTGAGACTAGAGTAGCCTTTGTTAAATCAATGTTACAAGTAAGATTTTCACAAGCAGCCTAGAAGCACATTTGATATACTTTAATATATTTACACTAGAAGTTTTATTTGATGCTAAACACTAAATGTAACATTTATATTATAATTTCATGTAAAAGTTCGCTCCTTCAGCCTCTTCTTGCCCAAAGCACTGATGTATTTAATCACATACTTATTTCTTCAATGTTCCACACTTAGAACTGTACGAATCTATGCAAATAAAAATGCACTTGTTTTGAAGAATTACTTTCTATATGAAACATTAGTTTTCCTATAACATCTTCCATGGTGTAGCCTGTTCTAACTGCCACGGAAGGGTTCTTTGCTTACCCACCAAGATTTTTGAAGGCTGGTGAATGAGAACGGAACATCATAAAAAAAAAAGCGGTGGATGCTTCCCCTCCTCACCAACAATAATACCAAATTTAAACGGTAAAGTCATTAATGAAACATATGGGTGCTATGTTTAAATAGATGGTTAAAAGTACACAGTGCAAGAACTCAGCAGAATGTTTTTAAAGTAGTTCTGAGACCAGGTATATGACTTCCAGCTATAACCTAACAGTGTATTTGCTACAGAAACACCTACCCATGCAGAGCTAATACATCCAGGCAAACTGTAAAACCTGGTACAGTTCGTAGGGACTTCCACCAATCCTTAAACCCGTGAACTCTGCAGCCTCCTTAACTTTACACCTATTGAGGCAGTCCTGACTTTGGACCAAGAGCTGGGAGGTGGAGGGGGCCAAACAAATCCCTCCAGCACAACCCCACAGCTAGCTCCTTCCCTTCGGTTCCAGCACTTCAGCAGCACGGGGGTCAGTGCGGATGGTGCCCGGGCTTCCCTCCCCAGCGGGCGGGCACTTCGGGTGCTCTTCCCCAACCTGCGGCACCCTCCCAGGACAAAGGGCACCACGGGACTGGTGCTGCGCCCCCTCCCAGCCCTCCGTACCATTTAGCTGGTTGTAGACCACTTCCTCCAGGTGGTCCAGGCGCTGAAGGATGGACTCCCGGTCGGCCAGGCTGCCCACCTTGGCCCCGCGGCTCCTGGCCCGCCGGTCCGCGCTCCGGACGATCTGCACCAGCTCCTGGGAGCGGTCCTGGATCCTGCAGTAGACGGAGAAGAGGATGATGCCCACGAAGACCAAGATGTTCACCGTCAACAAAGTTTTGATTTTCCGT